GCAAGGCACACTGTTAGACTGTGTTACACAAAGGCATTTTATTGGCTACATTTATCTAAAACTTCTAATCTAAGATAACATATATAGCCAATTAGCTTTGCGTAACACAGTGTAACTTGCTGGAAAACAGTCACATACAAGTCTGTGTTAATTACGTTAGAAATGAGAATTACTGATCGTCGAATATTTCTTTTTTACAAAGACCACGTGCGACATTTGTCTGGCAACTCCGGCGATGGATAACGCGGTTTACTTCGGTAACTCCGATCTGCATCGACAGAGATTTATTTCTTACGCGTGCAGCCAATTTATTGACATTATTAAAGCCACGACATTGTCACGCCAATTATCTCGTTACATTACACAATTATATACTGCGTTATGTTATAACGTAATGAAGACGAATACGCGATAATTCCGATAACGTCGATAACGCGAAAGATTACGCGCGAGATCTCACGCCACGACGTAATTTTAAGAACACATTATTGTAAAAGGATTGATAAAGTCGATGTTCGATACAAAACAAGCGTTATTTTACATTACTATCTTCCTTTTTGGGATAATAGCGAGGTAAAGAGGTGTTCTTTAATACAGTGAATAGAAATAATAAATATAAGCGCGTATACAGCATGAAATTTTTATTCGCGACGGAACTTAAATTGATTCACGCATCAACCATCGCAAAGAAAACCTGATCGCACAGATTTTCGCGTTTCAGAAAAGGATAATTACTTTTGCAAAACTTTTGTATACGCGATTAAAAATAGGGGGCCTATTCTCGACAAACATCGCATACGATATTTCAGGAATGTCACTGGAAAATCACACTTCGCAAGTATGCTATTGGTTGCAGAGTGTGATATTCATGACAATATCGTATGCGATATTTTTCAAGAATAGGGCCGCAGAAGCGAGAGGAAGAGGTCGTTCGAAAAAAATGATATCGCGATAGGCAGAGCGCGCGTCACTCTTTTCCCGAGAGAATACATCTTGATCGACGCGACAGATCCGACGATCCACAGCCGTGTCGTCGGCGAATTAACTCGTTCGAAACGCCGGCGAATTCATATATACGATACGCGGAGAGAGTCGCGATCGCGCTCGCTGGCACTCGCTGGCACTGTCCGTGTCCGTCCCCGTCGGGCGAGAAGAGCGATCTCGGCGATATCCCGCGCTGGCGGCGGCGCTCCTCCGCGTCGGCGGTCGGGACTCGATCGGGTCGGTAAACGGCCATGATTGCTCACGGCGGCGCGGGCCGCGCCGCACGGAAACGAGCGGTCCGCGACGGAGGCTCTCATACCCGACAGGCGGCGTGAACGTAGCCGCGGCGGCGTTCCTGGTTCCTCGGCGAGAGCCGCGCCGCCCGGCCAATCGCGCACGCCCGGCCGGGCCACGTGACCGGCTCGGCCAATCAGCGGCCCGGTCTAGTGCCACGGCCGTTGTCGCCGAGTCAGAAGACGGGGCATATTCTGACAAGCGTAGAAAAACTCGTCAACAGCGGCCGCCATTTTACGTTAGCTAACGTTAGCCGATGCTCGTGCGGTAACGGAGGTACTCGCGATCGGTTTTCCCGAGCGAATTTCTGTGGCGGGCAGGGCGGCCGCGACCGTGCCGATACCCGCGATCGCGTTCGCATGCTCGCGTTCCCGATATCGCGCGCGAGTGCACGGGGATAAACGCTCATTTCCCGCGGATCGTTCGCGCGCCCCGTGTGTCGCAGTGTGTGCCGAGGCTGGAAGAGAGAGAGAGAGACAGAGAAAGAGAAGAGGAAAGGAAGATGGTACCAGAGGGCCTCGGGAGCGACATCGTCGCCGTGAGCTAGCGCCGTGCGCGCAGCCAGTCGTTTGGCGAGTCGTCGTGCCGTGAGCACGTACGACCGCAGGGGGCCGATATACATTACGATTGTTGTATTTTACACCGAGGAACGGAAGAGGAACCGCGAGTGTGTATGTGTGTGTCCCGCGAGGGAGAAGGCGAGAGTGAGGACCAGTGAGCACTAAGCGAGCGGGAGAGCCGCGAGATTAATTCGGCGGGGTGTCGCGTCGGAGTCGCGGGAGTCAGAGCGCGAGTCGAGGTGAATCCGAGTCGCGACGAGACGAGAAGGAAGGCGAGTCGCGGGTCGCGAGCCGCCGCCGCCGCGAGTCAATCCCGCGAGTGACTCGAGTCGGCCGCCGCGCGTCGCGCGCTCATCCGTATCTCGGCGTTCGGAGCGGCGGAGTCGTCGTCGTCGTCGCCGTCGCCGCCGCCGCAGCCGCCGCCGCTGCCGTCGCGCGTCGCCATCGCCGTCGCCGCCGTCGTCGTCGTCGTCGTCGTCGCCCGCTCGCTTCCAACCGCGCTGATCTGCCGTCCCGTCCCGCCGGCGACGCGGCGCGGCAGCCGTCCCGTCGTCGTTCGCCGCCGGAGAGGAGAAGAGCGCGAGAGAGACAGAGAAGAGACAGAGACACAGGGAGCAGCATCAGACATTGCTCGTCGCCGTCGTCGTCGCCGTCGTCGTCGTCGTCGCCGCCGTCGTCGCTGCCGCGGCGGTGTTGCTGTTTCTAGTGTTGCCGCTGCTGCTAGTGTTGCTGGTGGTAGTGGTGGTGGTGGTGCCGCAGCAGCAATTGCTCGCGGTTGTTGCTTGTGCGTTGTACCGCGCGTGTGTGTGGATACCTGCTCGCGGTACGCCGTGTGACGCCGGGGGGGTTCGACGTACCCCGAACCCTACGATGCCCAATGGTTGACCGTGCACCGCAGGATGCTACACGGGGACGCTCCACGCGCCGCGGCTCTCGTTGTTGTTGTTGTCGTCGCGCACGCGAGTGCGATTACGGTACGGTGAACGTGTTGCTTCGCGGCCACGCCGCCGGCAGGGTGGAAGAAGAAGAAGAAGCGTACGGTGGATCATCGTCGTCAACGTTCGTGGCGACCGCGTTATTGGTGACGGAATCGACGGGAACGACGGCAACCACGGGGAGTGCAGCACGCACGGCGCCAGCGCCGATCAGGACGGCGACGGTGGTCTTCTAGTTGAGGAGAGACAGGGCCAACCCCCAGGGCTTTGCAACACCCCCAAGCTATAATCCGCGGTGCCGTTCGGTCTACGGCCGGACGCGGTCGTGCTACCTGGTGTGCGCGCGTGTGTGTGTTTGTGTGCGTGCGTGCGTGCGTGCGCGCGCGCGCGCTCGCTCGCTCGCTCGCTCTCGCTCGCGCGCTGGTGGTCGGGAGGAAGGATCAGCAGCGTGAGACGGGCGCAAGTGGGAAGGAAGAGCGCGAGAGGTTAGGTTTATTACGGAAGAAAGATAACAGCCGCGCGGAGGAGCCATGGCCGACCACCTGGTGGACGGCCCTCCGCCGAAGCGGCCCAAGCTCGATCCGTTCCAGGGAACGTCGGACTCGACGGGTAAGTTGGCCCCCACCCCCTCCCACCGCCCCTTCTCGCTCTTGGCCAAGTCGCCCAAGCGACGATCTTGAATCTTTCAATCTCCTCGACTCGCTCCCTCCCCCCGCGCGCGCGACCTTCCCCCCGTCCTCTCTCCCTACTTCCGATGTTTGTCCTTACGATTTCTTTGTATACCTGAGACACGACCGTGCCTTCCCCTTTTTTCTTCCTGTCTTCCAGGAACCGCGCGCTACTCTCTTCGCGACGACTAACCTTATAGAGGCTCCTCTGAGTTTGCGACGCTCCCGCGGAATGCCGAAGAAAAGAGTTACCCGGCGCCCGGCTCGCGGTTTTCGCAATTCTCGCCGACGGGCGCAGCTGACGACCCGCCATCGCTGGCGACGTCCGTTGGCGACGCGTCGCGATGGACCGGACCCCCCCTTCCCGCCCCCCCGCAGGCGTCGTCGGCGAATCCCCGAGCGAAATCGCGGCACGCGCCGCGTCGCGACGCGCGCCGCGGCGCGATCCAGAGCGCGCCAAGACGCGCGTCGCGGCGTCAGCGTCGGCGGTGGCGGCTCCGGTCAAGATCGAACGCGGAATTAAACGCGCTTACGGCGCGCGTACCTCTCTCTCTCGGTCGCTCCCCCGCTGCCATCGTCGTCTCGCGACGCCGATCGGAGGGACGGTCGTTTCCGCGACACCCTCGTGATGCGACGACGCAAGATGGATGGCCACGAGGAGAGCCCGCGGCGCGGCGCCGCCGAGTTTCGCTCCGGGAGAACGCTGTCCGTTCACTTCCTTCGTCTTACCACGCTCACCGCCTCCTTCTGTTTTTTTTTTTTAATTTTGTTTTATTTTATATATTTTTTTTTTTTGAGAGAGACGAATGTGGCATACTGAGACGTGCAGCTCTGTACATTCTTTTTAGACGTACTCTAGATTTAAAAACATAGTTGCGATCCTGTAGTGCATGAGGGTGCATGACACTTTAATGTTAAACGATTACATCTCGCTGGCATGAACGATGCGCTAATATATCTCTTTGTTCTTCCCCCCTTTTTTTTAAATTTTTTTTTCGTTTTTAATTAGCCCTTCGAAACACACACATCTTAATCATCCCTCAACGGTTTTCAGTCTCGAAGTTGTTTACGCACATATAACGCTACATTATACCGACTCTGTTTAATTACCTTTTATTCGGATGTAATAACGCGGACTTCTCGGAATCGCTTCTTTCGCGAGGGTACTGAGTCACAGAAAGTCGCAGAAACAGTTTGTGCTCGGTTTTACACCTTTACGGCGACTTCATCTCGCCGAGAGTCTCGCGTGGAGTAGAGTCGCGAGGACGACGCGAGTCGTCGACGATAACGATTGCGCGAAGTCGATTCTCAAACTGTTTCTACCACTTATACCGAGTACCAATAATCCAAGAGAACAAAGCTTCAACAAGTATATTCTCTTTCCTTCATTCTAAATTAAAACGAAAAACTGTGATATAGTAGTGGGTATGCCGCCTTTATTGATGCACCATGCTTATACGAACTACGGGGGAGGTGGCAGTGGTAACATGCAACAAATTCAGGGTCAGCCGCAACAACTACATCTGCAACAGCATCAGATGCAGCAACACTGGAACAACAATACCGTCCAGAAACGAAGTAAATATTCAATTATCCGATCAAAAAGCGACAATCTCGAAAAGCAAAAAGCATTAAGTCCGGCAGCGCAGAAAAAAAAATTGAAATTAAAATCTCGTTTGTCCGTCCGATCATCTCATAGTACCATATCGTTCCTCTCGTAAAGTTTACTTGTCTCAGTCTCTGGTTTTCAGTGACGCGCCTTCCAGTTGCGGTACTTTCTGATGAGGGTGGTAGTTTTGGCATATTGTCACTATGGTTCCCTCAGTAACTTTTGTCTATTGTCGACACAGTTAGAGAAGAAAGTGAAAGAAAAACGGATGTCGTGATAAATCTTTATTTTTGAAAAAAAAAATAAAAAATACATGTATATATAGATGGCAGAGCATATTATAGAGCTGACAATACGGATGTATTAAGTATTGTCTTACTCTGATCACGGACTGATTCACTTTACATAGCAATGGAGAAAAATTGGATCGGGTGATCGCTAAAGGTACATAAAGATTCAGGATAAGCCAAGTTTCCCCTCTTTTCTGTAATAAACACCGTGAGACATTCTCAATGTGAATCAAACGTAACATATAGACATGCGACACACACTCGTGGACTTGCGGAGGAATTGCAAAGGTGAAATTAAAT